ATGGGGAAAATGGACTGTACGATGATGATTTTTTTTAACTTAACTTCTGATAACAAATTATTACATCAATGAATGATCTATTTGGTACCATTTTAGCTTCCACAATGGAAATTTAGCATTTGATCTGTAACTTTTCTTTTAGGTCTGTTTTACCTCATGCTGTAACTTGGGCTTCTAAAAGACCGAAAAACTACTTTTTGAAGGTCTTCAATTAATAAAAAAGAATTTCAGTATTAGCTTTGAAGGAATGTTTAAATCTACAAGACTTACAAGTTAGGAATTAAATTTAGTAACAAATATATATAGAAATCTACATATATCAGAAATACATATACTTTTTATATAGATATATGAATCAGAAAAGCTGTGATAGAAAATGTGAAAAGTAAGCAGGCACATGTTCAACCCTTCTTCTTAATGAAAAGCTTTAACTCTGGTCTATATGCATGCCTTCCAAACTTTACCAAGTACCACTAAGCTGGAAAACCAAACCTACTGGAGCATGAGGATAGAGACTGAACACAGAATGAACTTCTTTCTTTTGACCCTGTAGTGAACTGGAAAAAAAGCCACTGGCAAGCCACTTCTGTCAGTAATGCTGTGGGTTTTCCCCTCCTATGGGCCGACAGCTTAGCTTAGGACAGAGCAACAGCCCAGGCACAGGCTCCAGCTCAGCTGAGCACCACACGCTCAGCACTCTGGCCCCCTGTTTGCAGCTGCTGGGGCAGAAACAGCACAGATCTGAACCAGAATGCTATCCCCATGGCTTACACAATTCACAGCCTGATTACCTGGATCACACCCTGCACAGCTCAAGTAGAAGCTCCACAATTTGTCCGTGACCTCCTCTGAAATCATGTTGCACCGGGGCAGCCCCTTGCGGGTGAGCAGGAGCCTTGGGTACATGTTGGAGAACGGCTTGCAGAGAGCAAGGCCATGGGTCTCTGCAAAAACTGATTGCAGCCATCTGAGGTAAACAAAGGAAAAAATCCAGGGTACAGTTATGCTAACAAAGGACTGTTATGTTAACAAAGAGAGAAACTGAGGTACATTATGACCTTGGGGGTGATAAAGAAACAGCCCTGGGAGAAAAACAGGTTCATAAGAGGGTAGGTGTTTATGCATACCTGAAATACCACAAGGGGCTGGGATATTATAATGTAGCCTTTTACATGGATCCAATAGATTTGTGAGTAGTATGCATGATTATTGTAGAGTGCTTATATAAGGTGTGATTTCTTTCAATAAAGTTGAAGCTTGCTCTATCATTCACATTGAATCTGCTGCTTGCTTCCTCCGCCCGCGGCAGGGACGTGCGTGTCGGGATGCTCACAGTCACATCCCTCAGCCTCAAGGGCCAGAACCCGGCCCTCGTTCGCAGGCGAGAGACACCTGACTGCCTGGAGCTAGCCTGCCTTCAGGCACAGGTGGGACCTCACCACGGCCCTGCACCCTCCACAGCAGCGCTGCTGCTCGGCACAGCACACGCCAAAACACGGGTGCAGCCACAGAGAAAGCCCCTGGCTTTGAGCCAGCTGGTACCCAGCTGCCAAGTCAGGTCAGAGCATGGACAGAGGGGCCCTCAGGCACCCATCTCTGAACCGATGCTGCACTGGCTCTTAGGGCAGTGAAAATGCTTCCGGTTCGCATCCTGCTTCACCAAAGCTTCACAATATGGCTTTTGTGAACTTGCCCTTTTCATTTGTTCTCCCCAATTACGTGTCTTTTAATTAAACTCAGCAGGTTTATTATCAATACCCTACACATTAGAGCTTCTCCTCCTCATTTCACTATAACCTAAGCAGACAACAATCATAACACAACCCACCTGATTTCATGATGCAAATAACCTACGCTACAAATCCATAAAAGCAATGGGGATATTATAATGGAGTTCAAGAGAGCAGTTTTTAAAATTCTATCCTTTTTTCTACTGGCAGTCATTAAAATTTTTATTTAAAAGTGTCTCTTACTTGTATTTGTCTAACATTAGCATTTCTTAATACTTAATAGAAGAGCAACAAGTTGCACAGGGACATCTACTGCTGGACCCAAGTCTACTCACATTTCAACCACACACATTTCTACCTATTTCCCAATGAACAGAAACGCAGTTCAGTCGGTACAATGAACTGCTCTATCTTGAGAGGATGACAATAAGGTGCTGAATGGGAAAAAAATTAGAGAAACAACCCCATATAAACAAATAAACACAGGCGGTAAAAAACCCTGCTGCATGACAGAAAATATTTTAAGTGAACAAAAAAAAGCTAGGCAGAGAAAGAGCCTATATATGTGTGGTATAAATATTCAATCAATAAAGTAAATTACCTCTTTCAGTTCTCCAATTCTGCGCAATGCTTTATCCTGAGTTTGACTCAATGTCCTTAGAAAAAGGCAGAATAAACATCAGGTATATTAAATGTAACTTTATATATAAAGCATAAATTAATCCACAGAATTCTGCTTCAGCAGAAGAATTAACGACTTGTGTTTTTCTTTCAAGTCAACCTCAAGGGGGGTTATCATGAACTGCCAACTGTGGGTTGGCAATCACCTGAACTCAGCTGATGCAACAACAAAAGGCTGGATCACAATAGCTTCAACTTTACTTTGACAAACCAGTATTAGCTTATTCCTCAGAAATCACAGCTAAGGAGTCTTCTGTTACACACACACACATATACATACACAACGTATTGTGTAAACACACACACAGTGCACTGAGAATTAAATCTCTATTCGCACTACACATTCTAAGAGGATAAAAAGTAATGCTTACCTGTAGCTGCTGCTTCTCCCACTGGATAACTTGATAAGCAGACACTAGCTAAAAAACAGAAATCGGGTATAACGATGATAATGCATGCACTTATAGCTATCAAAATAAATTGCTTTGTTTTATCTCTATCTGCATTTTCAAACTCTTATCTTCATTTGAGAAAGCTCTTCTGACACAAACATACTTAATTTTAATCAATGTTTCCTTCTTCCATTTAGAAAATATCTCCAATGTTTTAAAATTAAAGCCTACATGTCAAAACGATAAGGTCATTCAGCATTCTTGCACTGTTTTCCCTTCACTGAAAAGGCTTCCAAGAAGATCCATGCTTCAACACAGGCTGTCAGAAACCAACCGCATGAGAAAGTTACATCCCACACAGCTACCCTACAGGGGTGTACATCTGTAAGGGTTCACATCCCAGACAGCTGCAGTGAAATTAATTTTACAGTGAGTGTATGTTAAAAAATACCCTTACAACTCTAGAAAAAAAGCAACTCTCTATAATAACAAATGTTTTCATTCCATGTGCTCTGCATACACCCAGCAGGCAAAGGAAGACTGGAAGCGGACAACACTTCTCATTGTAAGCCGACATAAGGACTTCAGGAGTAACTGCACAATTTACTTTATTAAAAATTGATCACATCTGCCTAAGCTGCCCAAAGCTTAAGTAGCATAACGGCTCTTGGAACGAGAATATGCTCTTTCCAAACTGCTGAAAATTTAAAGGAAAACAAAGCCAAAACACCAAGCCAAGAAATATTTAAGTCAAAAGATCTCTTCAAATTGCTATTTAAAATAAAGATTTTTCAGAGTTCAAAATTACTTTTAATTTAAAAGTCATACTTATTTTACATTTAAAAGAAGACTAAACCTTCTATGGATGGGTTTCCTTACCATATTTTTTTGATGCTAACCTTTTATCCTACTTTAAATGAGGAAAAAAAACTTTATATCTTAAATAATCTTTATATATTGAAAGTACATTCTTCAGAGCTCCAGCAAAACAATTCCTTCCAACTGACCTAAGAAACTCAGAAAAACTGAAAAAAAAAACCAAAACCACAAGCCTTTTTGATAGAGAAAAGTAAGAGTTCCTAGACAGACTGTGCTAAAAAAACAACAACAACAAAATCCACCAAACTCAACCTACAAACTGAAGAATTTGCAAACAGTGGCAACGCTGTTTAGATAAACTTTTTAAAAAAATTGTCTCCTAATACTATCTGGAAAAGAATGAAAGAATTAATAGGAGACATCAATTACTGAATTAATGGAGATAACTGTTCCTTCAGCCATATGTTGAATACTGTAATTGCTGTACACATATTTTAGATTCCAAGGATTTTGACACTGACAGCCAAAGGGCTGCACAGGTATTTTTGTACCTGAGGGCAGTAAACACTTGAACAACTGTAAAAGCCAGTGCAAATGTCCAGATTTAAATACAATACACACACAGACTTCCAAAAACCAAAATCCAACACCACCACGTTGAAGCCTTCACTTTTCCCAAAAATTTGAAAAATTAGTAGCAAAATTACTTGCAGCATTGGTTTTCATTAAAATAGCAATAGAAATAGTCCTTGAATTAACTGCTTTCAGGGAATACCTGGACATTATGGGCAATAGAACCTCCCTATCTGAAACAAAACGCCTGCCTATCGCATCGCCACAAAACAGACATTGTGCACTTCAACAACAAGTTTGTCCTGGTCCAGCCAGGATAGAGTAAGGTTTTCCTAAGCAGAGAGAGAGGGGGAAGGGATCTCCAGCCAGGTTATTCATACCATGCTGACGTCAGGTCCGGAGGCGGAACCCTTTTCCTTGCTCCTTGGCGGGTTTAGGAGGGAATTTTGCTTCCCGTAGACCATTTGCGGTATTTCTCTGTATATCTCTTGTCTTGTTCACTGTTATTGCTGTTTATTGTTGTTACCATTGATAATGTTGTTATTCAGATTGTTCTATCACTCTATTGTATTAAATTTCTTGTTATTTTAGCCGGGGTCTGTGTCTAACTTCCAGCCCGACCGCACGGGTGGGGGAGGGGCAACAGCCACGTGCTCTCTCATCCCGGAGAGAATTAAAACTTGCACATTAACAATTGGCGCCCAACGTGGGGCTAAGCTATAAGAATAAAAAGGGACAGACCCTGACCAGAGCGTGACAGAGCAATCTGTTGGGTGTAATTTTTTTTTTTGTATTTGTTTGATAAGAAAATGTTTGCGATGCTGGCCCACATGTTTGCACGGTGCGGCTGGATTACTCCTTATATCCAGTGTGTGATCCCTGTGGTGGTGTTTGTTAGGGTGGGAAATGTGTAAAGGTTCTCATGTTGTTATACGGTCTATTGAACGTGTATGCTGCCTTTGTATTGCTGGGGGGGGGGGGGGGG